ATAAAAACCCAAAAGTATACAGTCATATATAAATTATTGTTTTACTTTAAATTTTTTTTTCATCGTATTTTACAATACAGTTACATAAAATGGCATGTCATTAGCTTGACATACGTAACATTTGGTAATAAAATCTAACGCATTATTATACGAAACAGAACACTCAAAGGTGTCTTATGGCGAAAAAATTATTGCAAGTATAGCTTTAAATAAGCGGCTGCCTATTTGATAACAATTAAAAACGAAAGAACTTTGTGCAAACGAATGAGAAGCTAAACGTAATAATTGCTACTCACTAATTGTATTATTTTTACTAATAAATCTCTTGGCCTAAGATCAAAATAATTAACTCCAGAAATTTTGATAAGTATTTTTTGCGTTATAAGTCTGGAAGTTAAAATTATTGAAGTGTTCAGTATTATTAAAAGAAGGTGTGTAAAATTAAGCTCAAATTTTTATATTATAACAACTAACAATTTTGCAAAGACGTGTGTAATTAAAAAGTAAACCGTTTTAAACATTGCATTTTGGTTTCCGATATAATTGATACCTTCGTTTGGGTGTGTGTTACTTTAAACCAATTTGCCATCATTAACTTTGACCAACCGTCTGTTCTCATGAAGCGCATGTTTTCATTGCCAATATTTCAATGAAAATATCAATAAATCGTAAAAAGCATTTCCCAGAATAATGGCTAAACTTGATGTTGACAAAGTATGGCGATACTTTTGTAAGTTGGTTTGAGTACACACGGGTAAATGTTCGTCTGTGTGTATATCGAAAGTTGTGCTTTTTTTATGTCGTTTAATGGGGTTACATTACTCTCGCCATGAAGATAAGTATAACTTATTGTTTGTTATCCTGCAGGCTCTTTTTTACCACATGATAAACTCTGATTTTCCAAATCGAAACGCGCTTCGAATTTAAGCCGCCCGACAAAGGCAACGCGCACAATTGTCAACAGTTTGTCTGATAGACGGTGAATTTCAGTGTTTGCGTGGTAGCTCGCCCCTTGAAATATGACATTAAAGAGCTTCTTTTGGCGAGAGATGTGCATCTTATTTGTGTGTATGATTGTTGATTTGTCGTTGTTTAGGTTGTGCGTGCACGAGAGCCGAGAGTTAACCTAATACTTCGATACCTCTGGCTGTTGGTTAGACCAGTCATTATTTAAACGTTGAATAAAAGGTTATATGTGGAAAATGGAGGGCAAATAGATATCAAGCGAGTGCGAAAAGTATGAAAAATTTGTGTTTATGTAATTTGGTATATGAATAATAAATAAGTGAATGTATGAGTGCTTTGCGGCACTTGGTGTGACTGAAAGACTGGTAGTAATTAATTAAAGAGACTTGTTACATTATCAAATATTTGTTATTGCCAACATTTTGATCATAGAGGGATACTCGACAAACAGCCTTAACGACGGTCTTTATATAGAAGGCATCCGGTTTGTTTATCTTTACTAAAATAACACTCTGATAATGTAATACGGTTTAACACTCTGATCGTAACTATTTTACAAGGCCATTTGGCAGAGAAAGGCTACCAATAAGAACCATTCTTGTTAATAATTGAATAACAATAAGCAACGCAATTTTATATTAAAGTAATATCAGGCAACGTTTTTTTTTTTCGCAAAAAGAAAGACTATTTTGTAGGTTTAATTGCTTTACATCATGTGAAGAAGGCACACGCACATCTATATCATTTATTAATACACTCTATAGAAGAAGAAAAAAGAAAACAACATCCTGAATTTGTAAGATACGAACCACTAAAGTAGGCTTAACAATAAATAGCTCGTGCATATAACAGGACTATTAAGAACAATTATCAGCAAAATACAGATAATGCAAACCATTTCTGGTAATTGAGGATTCATATCTTCAAATTGTGAGGGTTCATAGACTTTCCCTTGTTTATGTAATTATAACAGATCGATTACAAGATGTGTACCTTAATTTTATTTATTATTACCATCAATGTTCTTAATTGTTCAATAAGTAGTAATTATATCAAAGTCAAACATTCGTTAGGCCGATTATTTTTAAACCATATAAACAATTATTGTCTTACTTGTTCAGAGTGAATGCTGATGATGATACCGCTGTTAGTAAAACTATTACAGACGAATGTTGTAAAATATTAAAAACAAGCGAGCGGCGCATGTCGTTTAAAGTATACTCAAATTGTCTTGATTAGGGACAGAAGCAGACTTCTTTGATATTAATTAACTTGACAACCTAAAAATTTTACGTGTGTAACAATTGCTTCTTTTTTGTAATACGGTTAATATCACTAATTGACTATGACCATTGAAAAAAGGCAAAGTTTTTATTTGCCCCCCGAAAAATTGTTACATAACAGTAGGCTTTTTTGGTACTACACAATTATGTGTTTATCACGCTAATTCTATCTTATTCTCATCATAGATTAAGCATACCATTTTCCCCAGTTAAGAAACTATATGAGTATGCTTTCGAAAAGTATGAACGATTAATTTGGCAAGAGTATAATGAAAAATTCTACTTGCCGATTGGTTATATTTTTATGCCAGATCATTACTCTTAATGGATATTACGTGCATAATTTAACAGTGATGTCGTTGGGTTAAGCAGAGCATACATGTTATATCATATGCATGATGAATTTATTTTATCAACAGCTTAGATGCCTACATAAATATACGTATTGGAGTAAATTGGTACCGTTTAGGAAGTTATCATATTATGCGAGTCAATAATAATAAAAGCTGTTCACGGTTAAACGTTTTTCGCATACGACGTAGTACAGTAAAACCACCATACGGTCATTACAGTCACGCCGTATTGTCAGCGAAAAGTGCTTTGGTGTTTATATCCCACGTGACAAATCACAAAACCGCACGGCATTCGCAAAGAAATATCTCGATTGCTTATTTCTTCAATAATTAGCGTCCAACTCTTAACCACAATAAGAACTGGTAGCAAGCTGTTGCCAGAAATCAATCTTTCTCTAGAAGGCATCGACATTACAGAACTTGAAACACATTCATCAAATTGGTTAAATGGGAAGAGATTTTTGAGTTCTGGTAATATGTGTGTTATTGAGCAATAGTGTTACCGTTTCGTTTGTCGTTTAGTCTGATACTTAGCATAATTGTGTAATTACATGGAGGTTTTGCTGTACAATGCTTAGAATAAAGAGCGAAATTTTTTATTAAAAAAATAAATTGCAAACGTTATTCATACTTCTTCAATCTCTGTTAGACTATTACCAGTCGCCTGAATCTGGAAAATTTGACTTTATCGAAAACTTTTTTACAGAGGCTAATTTAAATTTGTCGAAAAAACAAACGTATTGGTAAATTTTGAGGAGTGACTAATGCTTGGCTCCAGCATGTATAAGTAGCTTTGTGGTTAATCAAGCTAAATCGAAATTATGTGACTTCACCGTTTTGGTAGCTTCAGACTTTATTCATATTTCTTACCCACTTTTGTGGTGTCTTAATTATAAATTTACATTAAACATGATAGAATGTACTGCTTACAAGTTGTATATTAGTTCTTATGTTTCTTTGTTACTTAATAATCATAATAATAAGAATCGAATCTTGCTTCGATTTTTGCAACTGTTACACAAAGTTTCCTAATATTGGAAACAGTGGATTGTCTAATCACTATCTTCAATAACGGTCCAGCCGCAGAACCCATCAATTGTCAGTCCATTCAATGTCCCGATAGCAAAAGTCGCAAGCAACTTTTGTACGTTCAAGGTTCCTTCTCAAATATCCAACAGTCATAGAATCAAGAGATAAATACTGAATGCGACATATGTTATGTGAAAATTAGCAAAGCAGTCATTAATATCTAGCAACCAAAGACCAAACAACCGTTACCTTTTTGTCTTTCAAAACATTTAATACATTGATAAAGAACACTTCCGGCGAAATTTCAATGCGTTAATGAAAAGGACTTTCGGCGAAATTTTAATGCGTTAATGAAAAGGACTTCCGGCGAAATTTCAATGCGTTAATGAAAAGGACTTCCGGCAAAATTTCAATGCGTTAATGAAAAGGACTTTCACTTGTTCTTGGCAGGCAAATATTTCGAAACGTTGTCAAATAAACAATCATGCCCTATAAACATGACCGCGATGAGAAAGAAAGAAACAACGTGAGATTCGACATTATGCGAGTAGACCAGCAGGAATAAGGTGTATATATATATTATCATCAAATGATGACGACACATATCAAAGTCAATTATTATTGGTTTACCTATGCGTAGTACTTTCTCAATCATGAGCATTCGTTCCAACTATCTTTAAAGCTAAAAGTTGCTTCTAATTGACGGTTAATTCCTCTCATTATGACAAGTCAAGCAATAAACGTAATTGGCAATTTTCATTTGATGTCTTCATAGATTACTGATCTCTGAAAAAAGGAAGACTGGTGCAATCTCTACGGGTTGGAAACAGCATAATCGGAAAACACGCCACGCCACGCATGTCACATGGAAGCATGCAATGAACATAAAGAATTAACTATTGAATAACAAATATTTATATTTAGGTAATTTTGCGTTTAAACGCAGATAACAATGTTTGTACCATTGCGACGCAAACATAAAATGCAGTTAACCTCTTGCAAACATATCTTTGAGATCAAAAGAGAAAAGCATAGTCAATTCTATTTAGAAGTAAAACGTTCAATATATAGTAAAGAGAGAATCAGAAAGCGTGTTATAATAATGCGCTTACTCTACACAGAATGGATGCTTTACAGAAGAGTCGGGAGATGGTGAACAGAACGATGAAATTGCATGCAATGAAAGAAAATTAACGTGACAAAGTTGCTTTGTTGACTTGAATAAGTCTTGGCTGTGAATGCTTCTCGTTTGATTGTACTCGATACTTTTCTATAGATTCATATCAAGTCGTTTTATTAAGCCATGTCACGTGAACACAAAAAACTTGAATAACGTGGGAACAAAAAAGAAAGACGTTTTACGTCACAGATGACAGTTGTAGGAAGATCCATCGGGCAAGTACTAGAATACCAGCTCAAGCTTAGACCTATACAATGTTATCAGACGATTTTGTTTGCCACCGCGGATAGATCGTACTCTGCAATCGGTAAAAGAGTTCTAATGCGCTCGTATGAACGTTCATCGGTCATTCAAAAATCCAATGACGGAAAATCCCTGGTCGTCCATATCGATGGTTGTGCAATCAATAATGGCCAACCTGATGCTCGAGCTGGGATAGGTGTATTTTGGGGTGAAGATGATCCAAGGTTTTTGAACAAACTACTCTTTTGCATTGGCTGGATGTTAATGAATGATTTCTATGACGAATCTTTAATCTTGTGCAAACTTACGGTAGGAATTTGAGCGAACCATTGGAAGACGGTAAACAAACAAATCAACGAGCTGAAATTATGGTACGTTAAAGTGAGAAATTGAACATGCTTGTGTGGATCTTTAACGTAAACTTGGATCAGTAACGTTGTAGACACATATTGCTCTTTTTCTTCTAAACCCATCGGCTTATTTAATAGGCAGCGATTCGTGTCTTGGAAACTTGTAATGATACAAAATTACCCTTATTGATATACACTGACAGTATCTATTTAAAGAATGGTATGGTTATCTTGATCTTTTAATCTTTGTTCTGATCTCTTTATTGATGTAAATAGGGTTGTTTTTTACATTCTCTTAGCACACGAAAAGTGGATAAAGAAGTGGGAAGCGAAAGAGGAAAAAAATGAAAACTGTGGATGGAAGGCATCGAATAACAAACCAGTTTCCAACGAAGATCTGTTTCGAAGGTTGATCGCGCTTACTAGGTCAAGAGAAGGTGTGGTTAACATTGTGAGTCGTTGAATCACTGAGTGATAGGGGTAACAACACAATCATACATGGAAGTAAATATTTACTAAATATACTTCGAAAGAAATGGGTGAAGGCGCACCACAAATCGAAGGATAATATTGCAGCAGACAAACTGGCCAATCTGGGCGCGTTGAAGAGTAGGAATACTGTTACCACTCCGGCTGCGGCCCAATTAGACAATATCGTCAAGAAAACCAAAAAGCGCGCCGAAAAGTTGGATAAGAACAAGTATCTATTTACTGCTGTTAGCTCTGATCTTCCTTTTTTAGATGTTATTTCTCCAATAGTTCTTATCGTTAAAGAATCCGCTTTGTTTGCTGCTGTAGTCAAATACTTCTTCTATCACTAATACTAGCTCACCGTCTATCAATGTTAATGACAGTGATTTAACCGAAAAGAATATTAACGGTGACCGCCTGGACAATCCGACAATTGCAGATTTAAACGGAAGACGCTCATCGAAACGGAAGAATCAAATTAATTTCGTTTTTTTGAGCTGATGGCTGTGTCATATGATAATGCGTGAAGTCAATGAAGGTAGGAGATCGAGAGATATATGGCATTATTATCGATGGGTGACTATCTTCTTTCATTTAATACTAAACAGTCTATGCCGATTTAAAAAGAATTTGTTGTTTTCAATAGTCGAATTGTGGTATCCAAGCTTATGACACTATCCCAAATATTATTCATTACGGAATTGAAATCAAGAGTCAGGTAAATCAATCATAAGAACATGTTATCTATAGATTTGTCAACTCATCCTTACTGATGAGTGAGATAATGTTGCGTGTATCTTTATGTTTACGAAGATCTGTTAATATTAATATTACGGATACTTCGTCTTTTTTTTTTCACAGCTTCACTTTATTGGATGATTCCGCCTTGTCGGATTACGATACGGAAAGAAATTATGATCGCATTATTAGAGACACGAACAAATACCCTCAATTACGCCAGACACCATTTGATTCCGTAATGCTATTTAGTAAACTCGCCATTGATAAGTTTAATTTGCTTAATTGATCGAGCCCTGCTTATGCTATCTCAGTAATCTGATATTATATGAAAATCAATTTCCTCTACCTGGAAGTGCAGTTTTTGATAGTTTTTTAGTTATCCCAAGTCCGTCAATCAGGATCTGCTCTAAATTTTCATAAATTATCTTCATGAGAAGATACTGCATTGTACGTGATTAGGCCGAATTGACAAATCGTTCTACTCAGTAAAGTTTGATAATTAATACTCACAATTCATTTTTATTATAAATAAAGTCGAGACATGAGTATCGTATATTAATATAATATATTGCGGATGACATCATTAAACCCTATCATCCCCATGATATTCCACATATATTGACAGGTAGTAAATATACTTAATGTATGAAGTAGAATAAAAACGATTAATTTTCGTATTGCTGAATTAATGCATTCACATTATTATAAGTGGTACAGATAACTAAAGGTAAATTGTTCGGAAAGTGCTTCCATGTATTGATTGGCGATCTGTGTAAGAAGGTAACAGAAATCTCTGACGTCTGTGTCTTCCAGCATCCATTGAGCTGCAGCACGCCTGGTAATTGTTGTAAAATCCGGCATCCTCAAGCTTACCCAACCTTTTCTGAACTGTGGGAACTGAAGAAAAGCTACGTTTTGTTATCGATAAAAAAATGACCACATTTCAGTATGAAGATTTAACTAAAAAATTTCAGAAATGCCTTGATTATTTGCTGACGTTTTGGAAGACCCGCCGCATAGTTTTTTCGATAAAGCAAAAACTGATTTATCGGTCTGTGCTTTTTGCTGGTCTTTAATTTAAATGCCTGAGGGAATAAAAAGGCTAGTGATCGTTTTAAGATTGATTTTGTTTCGTTGTTTGGCATATTATTCTCAAATGTCTAGTTCCCTAGGTAATTTTAACAGATCTTCGATCGGCATCGACAACGCGAACGGTGGATTAGCGAGCTGTTCTGAGTTCAGTCTCGCTAAAGTTATCGTCGCTGAATTCGCGGATTGTTATGGTAGCCATTACGGTGAATTCGATGGGTTCAAATGTCTGATGACGATCTTGGTTATAAGAAAGCTAATAAAAGCTTGCTTTGCGTTTATAACCGTTTGCATACGAAGTTTGGAGATGAAGACGGCTTTTCTTCTCTCACTAAAGCATTTAAAAGAGTAGACTTGCCGCCACAGATTCTCGCATGTCGCATTCGAAGATAACATCTCCTTCGGATAGTTGGTAGACGACTTCTCCCATAGATTCGAATATGTTGGTCCATGTAGAAAGGGTAAGTAAAAGAGCCAAAATTTGCTGTTGTCTGATTCAGCTCCTCTCCACATATCGATTCGTTGGTTTGCCCAAGATAGAATACTTTGCACAGAAGATAGAATGCTTTGCTATCCCGTTACACCTACGATTATTTGTGCGACAACGAATAATGGCAGCGTTACGTCAGCGCATTCATTTATACTTTTTTTCCGAATCCCTGAAATTTGGTTTGTTTTCAAATAACCCTAACCCCTGATTTTGATATCATTAGCAATAAGACCTGCTAATATATGTCAACAAAATGTTACGGGCACTCTATCAAGTAATTTTACTCATTGATAAACAAAATAACAGATACCTCGTCATGAGTTCTAATGAGCAAATTTTGCAACGGTCATTATCAACATCGAAAAATCAGAAAAAACGAAATGAATTTATTTCCAGTCTTTTGTTTATTAAATATTAAAACCAGTCTTAATGAAGAACGTGTCGGTAAAATAAAAAGACTGTTTATTTGAAATTACATTCTGTTCATAAACAGTCTGCGAGAGAGAAATTTGCCGAATTACGTGAAGCGTTTTAAGCTCTCTCTAGATCTGAACAAGATATTTTTAATGGCCCAGTTGAAAGCAATGAATGGCGGAGAAAATAACTGCCAGCTGAAGTCTTAAAAAAAACGCGTACTAATAAAAGAACCTTTTACTATTGAGATCGCAATACGCCGCTTTGTCAGAAACGTATCTCAATATGTTAGGCATTGGCCGTACGCACTTCGAAAATGTCAGAAATCATCTAGCAACGAATGGTATCATACCGCGCGTTCATGGTAACATAAAACGAATGCCGCGATGGAAAACCAAAATAACCATTGATATAAACGTTGCTACTGCCGTAAAGAATTTTCTCGAAAACTATGCGGAAATTCATTATCATAGCAAAACGTCATCAGTCACCCTGATCAATTTTACAGTCACAGCATCATTAGCATCTCATTTAATCAAATGTTCACTTTGTCTGGTTTTGTTGCGGTCTGCCCTAATTCAATGTCTTTTAAACATAATTCAGTCGGGTATCACGACAAAACTTGTCAATAATGCAATTCTAAAAAACTTTTTGAATAAAAATCAAAACGTTGGGAGAAAGTATTCTATTACTATTTGACAGTCAATTCCCAGTCTAACCTCATTGACTTCAATACAATGCTATGGTAATGGATAATGAAACATTGCAGTATTAATATTATACAAATTTAGAACTTACTTGACTAAACTATCTCTAGCTTGATATTCTTGAGAACTGTATTTTGTCCCTGACACAATATTAATATGGCATATATATTATTCTGTTCTAAAACCTCTTCTACACCCCGTTTAACAATTTCCATACTTCATCAAGATTGACATTCTCTCATCTTTTTAATAAGATCTCCTCTGTGAGCGAGAATAATGCCAACCTCTCCAGCACAAGTTATGGCATCTGGAGAGAAAGAGTTGGCTGCTACCAAGATGCCTACAATGTCTGGATTAAGAAGTACTCCTCTTAGATGTTGGACGAAGTGAGGACCTTATATTAATGATATAGTAATAGTTAGTATTTATTAGTGAAATAATTAATGCATTCCACTAAATCTTAAATAGAATAATAATTATTTACCGACTGGATCCTTATAATTTTTACATTGGATTGCATAGATTATATCATTATTATTATGTATAACAACTATGTCAATCCCTCCATCTGGTCCGTTACTATAATAATAAAAGGAAAGTGAAATGAGTAAAATGTATCATAATCAAGAACCATTTGAAAGAACGTTCACAGCAGGCCGTCCACCGTACGCCAGGACTGGGTACCTGACTGGTGACTTTCGCAAGCTGCGGCCACGAAGCGCTTTCAATTCAAATGGTCAATGTATCCTATTCACCACACCCGCATTTCCCTCAGGCTTCGTCGGCAACGGAGAATGAACGTTCACAACTTTTAAGTTATTATATTAATAATCGTAAAGTATTTTTTATGTATCCTATTCACCACACCCGCATTTCCCTCAAGCTTCGTCGGATACGGGAATCGATATGTATATAAACCAATTGTATTTATCGAAACCCGAGTTTACACCCAAGTGGCAGCGTAACTTCAGATACATATACTAAGCGATTATAATACAATAACTTACAAGTTGCGACCATGAAGCGCTTTCAATTCCCCGACATTTTACACCCAAGTGGCAGCGTAACTTTAGATACATTATTATCCATTCAACAACTACTCAGTGAGAATACTCACGTTATTCGGGGTATAAATCCATTACTCCGCAATAGTTTTTCAATCTCTTCTTCAAATTCTTTCCCTTTTCTGTAAGAATCTGACATCCTATAAACGAAAATTTAATAATAACCTTAGGTTGAGGTAGAAATATCTATAAATTGTTACATTTAAAAGAAAGAGAGAAAGCTAAATAATAACCTTAAATCAAGGTAAAGTCACTATTTTCGAAAAAAATTAGATTCATTTCGGCGAACATTAGTTATTATTAAAGTGGACGAATCTATTCATCTTTTTCGTGTACCGTTTAGTTCATTGATTCTCACGAATATGGCTTTGACATTATTCTAATATCATGTTCGCTTCAAAACTTTCAAACTTTTCGAACTTTTCACTCATATCGTAGACTTAAAGTTTCAACAATACCGCGTCCCGAGACATTTTTAATTTAGTAAGTTGTACCGTGTAATAACAAATACCAAGTTTGTATCTTTAGATGTCATCCGAAATGTAGAGATAAGAGAAGTTATACATAATTGTGTCGATCATTTAAATTCACATGATCGACAAGCCACAAAAAAACTTTCCTTATATATAACATTGATTCTGTTGGACAAATCCAAGTCCTAAAAATGAGAAGAAAAAATTGTATATGAAGCAGTTTGTAAACTTTTACAAGAGACAGACTGTTCTTTAATTCATCCTTTAGATCCGATGGGGGCTGGGATTCTGGACTTGACATTCTTTGGTGATTCTTATTCAGAAGGATTGGGGGAGGATCTTGTCATTGATATTGCTTTTCCAAGACAGATCAAAAATTTAATCGATGAATTCATGAAGTCATATGAACACTTGGAAATGGAAAGAAGATATATCAATATGATATGGATCCGATTAATTTTCCTAAGGAGTTCATGGATCGGGAGATAAAAGAAGACGTTTTAATCGTATGGTCCATACTAATAGGATTGTAAGTATTAATCGTTTCGAGTTATTTATTTATTTAGTTATTTGATCAAATTCAATGTTAATGATGTTAGGCGAGATATTTGGACTTGTGAACCGTCGATACAAGATGCGGATTATAGTGAAAATTCGTATGTGATACATGTTATATCAAAAATCTTGCAGCCTATTTTTGCTCATAATTCACCACCGACAATGCGATCATGGTATGTTTTTGAATACGTTTTATATTATTAAATTAAAATCATTACTAACTTACTTCTTATAGGAACGAACGGGAGAGTGAAGCATCGAGGCAGAGGAAGATAATAATGGGAGCGAAGTCATCTGCCAATAAGCCTGATTTGTGTATTTGTTTGGATTATCAGAATGCGGATTTAGAACTGGCTATGCTGAATTTTCGTATTAGAAGCGCCATCAAGGAAGCATCGTGAAGATTGGAAGAAATTGGTACGAACTTGTAAGGACGGTCATTGTCTTATTCGCGATGTTTGTTTCGAGGGAAAAAAGATAGATAACGAACAAAAGTTGGAAGTAAATACACTAATCAATCTGTTGAATGGTATTCCGATTATTGGTCTTTTAGTTAAAGGAGATCATTTACATGTCTCAATTACGGATAGTTTTAATGGCGAGTTTTATAAATCTTACGAAATTTTGGATATTAACATTTCATTGGGACCAACTGATAGGCGAGGCGTAGAAGATTTACTGAAAAAAGCAATTCAATTGAAAAATTGTATGAAAGGTATTGTAAGTGAAGTAGTACATTTATTAGATGAATGTATAAATTTACCCGATATGTCTCCAATCGATTATGATGAAGATACATCAACAGTATTAGATACATTATCACAACCATTCACACCTTTTACCCCACTAAAAAAATAATAAATAACATTTACCTTAACTTCTTAAGATCCGTGATCGAAGAATCAAGCCAGCGGTTCATGCATATTCAAATCGTACTTAATATTGTGCGTCAATTTTTCGCATACAAACACACGAATCAATTTTCATCATCAATCACCAATAACCCATCAACCAAGAATCCGATGCTTTATACAAATTACATCGTCATCATTGAAACGCACGTTAAATTTCGCGCCACAGCTGCGTAATTTAAAAATCAATGTACATCGATCACGGTCGTCAACCTTGTAAAAGAATTACTCGATAACTAAGAAGGCTTCGAAAATAAAACTTATATTGACAATAATTATTGATACGCACGTTGTATTTTGCCACAAGTTATTAAGTATGATTTTGCGTAATTTAAAGATCAATAAAACCTCTTATACGTCGATCATAGTTGTTAACCTTACGAAATCTTTCTTCCCTTTTTTTCTCGAAAACTGTTGTTCTAGTAAACAAAGTAGCAATAATGAAAAAAGTTTTTTATGAATAGAACTCTAATAATATTAGTTAGCGTCTAGTCGCAACGGAAGAAACTATGCGTTACTGTGGAAAGAAACTATAATACTACTATATTTTGCCGGGTGAAACTTTGTCAACAGTTTCTTTTAAAACAAACGTCTATTTCGCAAAACTGTTCGAAAAAATTAGTCGGTAAGTAGAATTTTTATCATAACCATGCCAGGTGTTCGATTGTGACATTCTATGCAGAAAAATTCAACCCCTAATTTTACATATGCGCGACTATTTATTAATATTAATATGCTTTCGGAAAATGATCGATAAATTTTTCGGAAAACACACTTCCCCATCGGACTTTGTGAAATGTTCGGTGACTAATATTAATATACTATTATCACGATTCTATATTATCGCAATTAACCCACTCCTTTTCTTTATATTAAAGTCCACTCCCTTCTTCACTTAAAGTCCACTCCCTTCTTCATATAATGTCCACTCCTTTTCTTCATATAATATCCACTCCTTCATATAATACTCCTCGTCACCTTTCCTCGTAAAGAACCGCTGCTGGTCTTCCAGCACCCCCAACAACAGCTCCATTTGGTGGAGCACCTCCTGCTTCAAGAGATCTTGCATTAAGAAAGAATGCCTCAGTTGGAGGTTTAATGCCCTATTTATGTCCGTATCGCGTTGGGCGAGAGAAGGTACCGTAAATATGTTGTCCTCCGCGGGGTGCTTGAGTTTAAAAATTATGAGGGCTGGATCAAATTGATCCAGCCTCTTGCCGATCGTTTCTGAAAGCACCATATTAATATATACTGATTGCTAATTCAGCAAGATCGTTTTCAATTTTATTCCAAAAAATTCTAACATCTTCATGATTCTTGTGATGATTCTATTAATATGACAATTACAGCAAAATATATTTTTATGCAAGATAGACATAATGATCAATATCAAGCAGACCACAATGGGCAAGCAGACTGCAAAGTGAGCAGCAAGCAGGTGCCCACCATAGTTGTGTGAGTTTTACCCCTTCTTGGGACTACTGGAAGTCTCCCATACTGCCTTTTCAACAAAAATTATTAATAAAAATTTACCTTAAAACTTTGTTTCAGCCTGATAGCACCCTTCTTGATCTCTTCCAGGCCACTTCAGAGTGACTTGTATTGCTATGTGATAAACAAATATTATTACCAAACACTCCAACTGACACCTGCAAAGAACAAGGGATCAGCCAAAAAATTGTGGAAAAATTGTATCAGATCCAAACCTTAAGCAATCCATTGAAGCAATATGAACAAGCAGTCTGTGAGCATGAAGATTCAAATCCCTAGCCTTTGATTTTCCCCAGCAATAGACAAAATAAATAAAGGTCATAACATGAAAAATGTCACAGGGCTGAACCTACAGAGTCATCTTCATCTTGAGCAGGTACTAAGCTACCAATTGAGGAATTTGTATCTGTGAAAATTCCAATGATGTTCTCTTGTTGATTGCGAAGTGCTCTGCAAATTGCCCTAAAAACCTTCTGATCTTCCATTTCTAACAAACTAATGAGGATTCAGGATTGATGTCTGGTTGTTCAACAAAGACCATAAAAACCCTTACCAAGTAAGTGCGGAGGCCTCATCAAAGCATATTATTATGAACTGGTTCAAGGTCAAGGGGGGGGAGTATGTCAATCTGCTTTTTCTTCTGATAGACAGCATCCCAGAACTCTTTTGCTTGATTCTGCTTGTGTTTTTTCCAATAATTATTTCGTTGTACATAACATAAATGTAAATAATAACTATGCATTACCTTGCTTTCCCTATCTTCTAATATGTGCTGGTGATATTTCTCCGCCCTCAATTTTATTCGAGAGCTATTATTATAGACTTTCGTTTGATTTTAACAGGATTGTAAACATGGCTCTTGCCCAGATAAGTAATAACCATTGCAGCAAGCCATCTGTTAGCTACAGCCTCCACTCTGGCCATCGTGTCGCAAAACTCGATCTCATTCTTTAGTATCAAGCTATGTGTCGTTGCTTTCGGATACCCAGTTGATACGGATGAACGGAAACACAGGTATATCACGGGATATAGTTTTGCCAGTTCATGCATAGCCCTCGTTTTACCATATCCGGATGACTGGACTACCGCAAGGTAATTAAAATATTCCGAAGAATTTCTGATCGACCCTAATTGCCGATCTAACTCGGCGATGTAATCGATGTTCGAATTGAACGGGACTGTGAATGCTATATCAAGAACTATTTTCAAGAAAACACGAGAAAGAGTCAGGCGAATTCATAGGGAACTATACAAATGTTTCCATGCATTTACCGTCATCCCGTGGCTTCGCTATTTTTGAGGAACCTTAAGAATGCAAACAGCAATCAATGGACGTGAGAAATTAACCAGATAGTGCACGTTATTCAACCCAAACTATCGTTCTTGCTTATTTGCCTTTCAAAAGAGCTTGCGTACAACCCAACCGTTGCTACGACTCCGCTATGTCCAACCCCAACGCATGTCGTAATGATTCGAACTGTTCTCTCCATATAACCCAGCTCTGCCATTTACTAAGCTCTATTCTATACTCCTCTCAACGCACGTCATAATGCATTTCAACTACTCTCTCCATTACTGCTACGAAACCCCGTAATGTCTCTACGACGCAGCTCTGCCCCAACTAATAACGCCCAACTGCCTCTCTCTCTCTTGCAATATAGCACAAAACCAGTAACAGTATTCAAACTCTTCTCCCCGTTGCTCCTCCATAAACGTGTTTGTTACCTTGCTCATCCTTGTAAGCATTGATTATTTCCTCTTCCGTAGCATTTTTATGCTTCCTTACATATGAACCGTAGAACGAGTCGGGAACATCATCTATAGTAAGTGGCATGGTTGTCAAGTTACGAGAATGAATAACAAAAGAAGTCGCGATCTAGCTCTGCGCCGCCCAACTCAGTTGTTTATACGTTTTACTTACACAAACATGTGATACTCCTTGTATTGAAGCGCCGAATCAACTACAGGTGCCAGGTCC